CACGTACGCGTTTCCGTTACGTGGGAACTGAACCTCCCTATTGCCGGAGCATTCGACCGTGTGTCCCATACTGGCCTCCTGCACAAAGTCCGCCATCTTGGCATTGGCGGCCCCCTGCATACTTGGCTCTCTTCCTACCTAGGTGGACGGTCCATTCAATGCTTGGTGGGCGGCCTAACCTCATCGCTGTACACCATATCAGCAGGAGTTCCCCAAGGGAGCATACTTGGTCCCACACTCTTCCTGATTTACGTGAACGACGCCTCAGAGGCCCTCTCACCCGGAGCCCACCTGGAGGCGTACGCCGACGATACTACCTTGTATAGCCTGATATCCCTCGACACATCCCCAGCCGACGCAGCATCGAACCTCCAGACTGTTGATCGCTTGCATCAGTGGGGCCGCAGATGGCGCATCTCCTTCGAACCGTCGAAGTCCCAAGCCATGACCGCCACTCTCCGCAGAACCCCCATCAATTTGCCTCGCATTGTCTTCGGCGGCACTCCTGTCCTTGAGGAGGAGACTCTCTCTTTACTCGGAGTGACCTTTGACTCGAAGCTGTCATTCAGCACTCATCTACGGAAGGTTGCCGCTCGAGCCAAGCAACGCCTGGGCTTCCTGCGCCGTGCATCGCATATTCTCTCTCCAGCCGGCCGCGCTACAGTATACAAGGCATTTGTTCGACCGGTTATGGAGTATGCCCCCCTCATCTGGATAGGTGCTCCGCCCAGCTACCTGCAACGCCTGGATCATATCCAACGCTGTGCTCTGCGAATCATCGGTCCAGGTGCACTATTACCTGGCCATCCGTCGCACTGTTGCCTCGCTTGCCTGCCTATACAAGCTGCATTACCTGCCTGGCCCTCCGCAGCTGATCTCTGTTTTGCCACCGCGCCATTTCCCCTCATCCAGCCCCGGAACTCGCAGCGAGCATGGTAGTGTCATTGGACATGACCACCAGCTCCAACACCAGCTGCTTGCATCTGTCCCGCTGGCATTGAAGCGCTCGTTCCCACACTGCAGTATTAGTGACTGGAACTCCCCCCCCCCCCCCCCCCGCCGCTCTTCTGTCCCAGCCTCCCCACAGCAAGGGAATGCAAGCATTCAAAACCAACGTTTATCGCCATCTGCGAAGCACAAACTGGCTCTGAGCAGTCGACTCGCTATGATGATACTCTCGCACGTCTATCCCCATCTATGCACCACAACTGGCTCGGACAATCGACTCGCCATGATCAGCCAGGATGATGCTCCTCTCAGTCACAACCCTTGTAAGGTGTTCATAATCTCACAGTTTCTCCCGCACACTCGCTGATGTTAACCCTACCTTTCTTTTCACTTTGCTGACTCGTACAGCTCTATCTTTTATTTTGGTGCGTGTTTTTGGCCGTGATGCCGAGACCTCAGGTCGGCAGAGCCATCAATGCCCCACCATCACTGCTGCGTCTCGGTGCAGCCCCTGCTCAATAGTTGTCACGTTCGTCCTAGTCTCAGTACCATTGTCTTCCTTTATTATTTTCGAGCTGGGAATGCGAACATAGTAAAAAAATAATAATAATAATAGCAATGCACAGATAACCCTTTCTCACACACTCTATATCGCGCTACATATCATATGGCAATTGTTATGCTGGGCTTGCCACATTCATGGTACATGTATTTAGCAGCACTCTCACGGCAGGGTCAGTACCAATTTTCGTCTGATGATCGATTTAGTTCGTGAAACTCAGAGTTACGAAACCACAACTGCTCGTTCTTCTGTCTGTGTATTCCGCTCTTTGCATTCGGAAAATTGAGCCCTCTACGGACGGTGGATGAACCGCACATGGAGATAAATAGATAGATAGATAGAGAGAGAGAGAGAGATAGAAAGAGAGAGAGAGAGAGAGAGAGAGAGAGAGAGAGAGAGAGAGAGAGAGAGAGAGAGAGAGAGAGAGAGAGAGAGAGAGAGAGAGAGAGAGAGAGAGAGAGAGAGAGAGAGAGAGAGAGAGAGAGAGAGAGAGAGAGAGAGAGAGAGAGAGAGAGAGAGAGAGAGAGAGAGAGAGAGCGAAAGAGAGAGAGAAGAGAGACATGGAGCAAGGTGTAATATCGTTGAATGTCTCGATACCCTTTTCAGTTTTGTGCCTTGTTGTAGCACTATCTAACTGTATAAGATGTCGTTACCTTGGTGGACTGTAGTGTTAGTCATAACACGTAACTTATTGGTCTTTTCTCTTTACATAATAATATTGGCTCCACATCCGAGTTCTAAGGAAGATAGAACGTATTTGTTGAGAAGTGGGAAGGCCTTCGGGGCAAGATGGCGTCCCATAGAGCACGAGAGGCTGACGATACACCTGACTTGATAGTTTACCAGGTACATGTATGATGATGACAGCACATCACGACCAGGTAGTTGTGTAGGGTCTTTACAACTCCCTGGTCCCAACAGAGGACGAATCGGGGGGTTAACCGGGCATGACTCCACGCGGTTCACATAGTAGTCGGAGGACCGGGATCCTCTACCAACCTGTCTCCAGTTGCAATCAGGAACACAGGTTTCAATTTGCCTCCAGC